GATCTGTCATTACATATACACACCTTAATTGAAAGGCCCCAGAGGCTGAACACCTAAGCAAGAGGCACCACTAACCAAACACTGCCATGAAGACCAAGGAACTCGCCAAACAAGTAAGGGACAATGTTGAGTCAGGGTTAGGTTATAAAAAAATATCCAACTCTTTGATGATCCCCAGGAGCATCATCAAATCTATCATAACCAAATGGAAAGAACATGGCACAACAGCAAACCTGCCAAGAGATGGCTGCCCACCAAAACTCACTGACCGGGCAAGGAGAGGCAGCACAGAGACCTAAGGCAACTCTGGAGGAGCTGCAGAGTTCCACAGCAGAGACTGGAGTATCTGTACATAGGACGACAATAAGCTGTTCGCTCCATAGAGTTGGGCTTTATGGCAGAGTGGCCAGAAGAAAGCCATTACTTTCAGCAAAAAGCAAAATGGCACGTTTTGAGTTTGCAAAAGGCATGTGGGAGACTCCCAAAATGTATGGAGGAATGTGCTCTGGTCTGATGAGACTAAAATTGAACTTTTCGGCCATCAAAGAAAATGCTATGTCTGGCGCATACCCAACACATCACATCACCCAAAGAACACTATCCCCACAGTGAAACATGGTGGTGGCAGCATCATGCTGTGGGGATGTTTTTCATCAGCCAGATCTGGGAAACTGGTCAGAGTTGAGGGAAAGATGGATGGTGCTAAATACAGGGATATTCTTGAGCAAAACCTGTACCACTCTGTGCGTGATTTGAGGCTAGGACGGAGGTTCACCTTCCAGCACAACAATAACCCTAAACACCCTGCTAAAGCAACACTTGAGTGGTTTAAGAGGAAACATGTAAATGTGTTGGAATGGCCTAGTCAAAGCCCAGACCTCAATCCAATAGAAAATCTGTGGTCAGACTTAAAGATTGCTGTTCACAAGCGCAAACCATCCAACTTGAAAGAGCTGGAGCAGTTTTGCAAGGAAGAATGGGCAAAAATCCCAGTGGTAAGATGTGGCAAGCTCATAGAGACTTATCCAAAGTGACTTGGAGCTGTGATAGCCGCAAAAGGTGGCTCTACAAAGTATTGACTTTAGGGGGTGAATAGTTATGCACATTAACTTTTTTTCAGTTATTTTGTCCTATTTGTTGTTTGCTTCACAATAAAGGAAATGATGCAAATCCTCAAACAATCCATGTCAATTCCAGGTTGTGAGGCAACAAAACACAAAAAATGCCAAGGGGGGTGAATACTTTTGCAAGACACTGTATAAAATCATTCCACACCATATATATCCCAGTTCATTCTGGGGTTGGCTCATGGTCAATTATCAGGGTCTATTCATGGCAGAATTGGTGATTTTGTGAAAATGAGTGCAACAGTAATTTACATATTATAAACAACACTCATGCCTCCCAGGGCCTAGTCAATATCTAAGAGCTGGCTGCCATAAAATACATGATTCACTGCTCAAGGAAGATGAAAACTGGGGCTTTAAATGAGATAGGTTGCAGTAGATCTTTGAAAATATGGCTCAGGGCTACATGTATAAGTGGTTCTCCTCTCTTCATGTGCTTCTAATTTAGGACATGAATTTCTGAATAGTGGACATGGCAAGACTATAGCTTTTGCTGAATCATTGTGTATGAAGAGTGCATCGTTAAGGTGCAGTAAGATGATAGATGCATTAGCTAAAGCAAGAAATAATCAGCACTTGCATAACTATTGCAGGCACAGAGAAGAGGCATTAAAAATAAAATCTTTATTTAGACTTTTTCAGCAATGAGAGTGCTTTCAGTGCAATCATTATACTACCGTAACATTCACAATATCCAAGCATATCAATCAGAGGCAATTAACCACGATAACAATATAATATAATTAAATTAGAACTTCCAACATAGGCAACAATCTCATTTTCATAGAGAAAATTTGTGTTTTTTAACCCATATTTCAATCTTAAAAGGAAGGCATTTGTCAGATGTAATGTTAAAGAGTTAAAACAAGGAATGCATTAATAGATGTTTTCAAGAATTGGTTGGAGGATTTTAAATGCAATATTTAGTGGCGCAGGTGGAATATCCTAAGTAGAATAATTAAAAAGGGTCGCTAGTCTGTGTCAAGCTTATTTATGAGGCAGAAATGTGTGGACAAGGCTTATGTTCTCAAAAACAATCCATGGTTGTAAGTTTGATGACAGAGAGATAATATTGGTCCAACATAAAGCCAAAACAAGGAACATTTTGTCTGTCCTACCATGCTCTGACCACTTCTCCCATGGCTCTGTTAAGCTCCATGTTCTGCTTGGATGCTGTCACGGCCGCAAGATGGTGGACGCCATGCAGATGCCGGCGCAGCATGCAGGAGGGATTGGGAAGAGCCATGGGGGGTTCTCGAGGAGGCTGGAGAGACAGAGGGGAGGAACTTTACAAGAGCCAAGAGTGTGCCCAGTCTACTCCAGTCTATAGTATTTGGGGGCTCTGCCTGCAGGGAATGGGGGCTGGTCACATGACCCCCTCATGACCCCCTTGGTTGTCCTGGTGCTTGCTCTAGTCTCCTAGCATGCTTGATCCTGGTTCCTGGCTCCTGATTCCCCGGTAAAGATTCCTTGGTTTCCGACCTTTGGCTTTAACCCTGACCATGCTTCTTGTCTCCGACCTTTGGTCTATGAAACCTAGACCATACTGCCTGTGGATTTCCTGGCTTCGGCTTGATTCTTGACCTTGCGCTTTTGCTGCCTGCCCTGACCACTGGACCACCTGGCACCACATCCTCTCTGCTCCATTCTGGCTACTTTGCTTTATCTGTAAATAATGGCAACCATGCCCTCATTGTTGGAAAATACAATAGCACATACTGCATAATATGTATATACTTAGCACTTGAGCTGTAAATGGCGCTTTGCGGTTCAGAGTACTGTTTATATATGATATGAACTTGTTGGTACTCACAGGAAGGAAGTTCTTTGTTTTTTGTTTTTTTACTTGCTCTGTGACTGTCTTCCTTTTACCTTTCACCCTGCTGGCTGCTGTTTTAAGTAACTGATATGTTCTAAATTTAGCAGTTTGCTGTTTATCCACACAAGTAAAGCCTAATATTGTTCTTCACTATCTACCAGTGTCTCTTATTGATGCATAACCAACACTCATAGATCTCTCAGGTTCCCGTATCACTCTCAGGCACCTGGGAAAGTTGTGCCTGCAAGGGGGTTGCCGTTAGGGTTGCCACCTTTTTTGGAAAAAAATACCGGCCATTCTAATTGCATAATTAATTTTATATGCTTGACATCACAGGGCACGACATACATAAAAGAATCATAGGCCTGCGCAGCCTATTGCATTAGGGTGTGCACCCTAAAGCACAAACATACACCGCGTGTATACGTATTTTTATATATACATACACACACAAACATATATATATATATATATACATACACACACACACAAATATACATGGGGTGCAGTGTGTGTGATTGTGAGGGGTGCAGCGTGTAAGGGGTGCAGTGTGTGATTGTGAGGGGTGCAGTGTGTATGATTGTGAGGGGTTCAGTGTGTGTGGGGTACATTGTGTGTGATTGTGAGGGGTGGGTTGTAGTGTGAGAGAAGCTTTGCAGGCTAGGATAGGAGTCTGAGAGGGGAGCAGCCTTTTAATTTCATTATACTTATTTTAATATATATTTTTTAAGTGTTTAACCCCACCCCCCTCTCCTCCCTCCTTGTTTCCTACCTGAAAGCAGGGAGGAGGGGTGGTCAACATATTCCCTGGTGGTCCGGTGGCACTGTAGGGGCTCTGCAGCTCCGCTGGGTTTAGACTCTATCGCGAGTCCCGGCACCACATGGAATCGAGCGTTGCCGTGTGGGGGCTGAAAGTGTTTGGGAATGGTGATAGTGTATGTGGTGAACGTGTGTGTGTGTGGATGATAGGGTGTGGGTGGGGGTGAAGGGGTGTGTGAAGAGGGGCTGTGACAGGGTGTGTGGAGGAGGGATGTGACAGGGTGTGTCCGTAGGGATGACAGGGTGTGGGTGGGAGTGACATGGTGTGGGTGACAGGTCGGGGGTGGGGTGGCCGTGACTGGGGGTTGAGTGGCTGTGACTGGTGATGTGGGGGTGGAGGGGCTGTTACAGTGGGTGTGGAGGAGCAGTGACAGGGGTTAGGGGAAAAGAGCAGTGATGGGGGTAGAGGGGCAGGAGCAGGTGGTAGAGGGGAGGTGACAGGGGATAGGGGGGGGGGGGGGCAGTGACAGGGGTAGAGGAGCAATGACAGGGGTTTGATAGGCAGTGACAGGAGATAGATGGGCAGTGACAGGGGGAAATGGGGTGGAGTGACAGTGACAGGGGTAGATTGGCAGTGACAGGAGGTAGAGTAGCAGTGACAGGGGATAGTGGGGGTGGAGGGGCAGTGCCAGGGAAAGGGGCTGGAGGGCAGTGACATGAGATAAGCAAGTGGATGGGGGTGACGGGGAGAGGGACAGGACAGGGGTTGGGGTGGAGGAGCAGTGGACGGGGCATAGGGACAGTGACAGGGGTTGGGGGGTGGAGGGCAGTGACAGGGGTTTGAGGGCAGAGGGCAGGTCAGGGATTAGAGGGGCAGGACAGGGCTTGGGGTGGAGGCAGTGACAGGGGTAGTGGACAGTGACAGGGTCAGGGGGCATGGAGGGGCAGAGGGGTAGTGACAGGGATGGGGCAGAAGCAGTGACAGGGGTTAGGAGGGTAGAGGAGCAGTTACAGAGGTAGAGGGGCAGTAACAGGGGTTGGGGGGGTGGAGGGAAGTGACAGGGGGTAGTGAAAGGGGACCGAGGGGGGGTGAGGGGCAGTGACAGGGTTAGGGGATAGAGGGGCAGTGACAGGGGTTAGGGGAGTAGAGGGGCAGTGACAGGGGTTAGGGGGTAGAGGGGCAGTGTCAGGGGGTAGAGGGGCAGTGGCAGGGGTTGGGGTGGAGGGGAAGTGACAGGGGGTAGCGGGGCAGTGACAGGGCTTAGGGGCGTGGAGGGGCAGTGACAGCGGGTAGAGGGGTAGTGACAGGGGATAGGGGGGGCAGAAGGACAGTGGCAGGAGTTAGGGGGCGGAGGGGCAGTCACAGGGTGGGGGTGGAGGGGCAGTGCCCCTCCACCCCCTTCTACCCCATCACTCACTGCCCCTCCACCCCTTGTCACTCACTGCCCCTCCACCCCCCTTCTACCCCACATCACTCACTGCCCCTCCACTCCTGTTCTACCCCTGTCACTCACTGCCCCTCCACCCCCCTTCTACCTCTGTCACTTACTGCCCCTCCACCCCCACCCTACCCCCTGTCACTCACTGCCCCTCCACCCCCTTCTACCCAGTGCCCCTCCACCCCCTTGTACCCTCCATCACTCACTGCCCCTCCACCCCCCCTTCTACCCACTGTCACTCACTGCCCCTCCACCCTCCTTCTACCCACTGTCAGTGGGAGGGGCAGTGAGTGAGGGGAGGTAGAAGGGGGGTGGAGGGGCAGTGAGTAACAAGGGGTGGAGGGGCAGTGAGTGACGGGGTAGAAGGGGGTGGAGGGGCAGTGAGTGACAGGGGGTAGAAGGGTGGTGGAGTGAGTGACAGGGGTTAGAAGGGAGGTGGAGAGGCAGTGAGTGACAGGGGTTAGAAGGGTGGTGGAGACGCAGTGAGTGACAGGGGGTGGAGGGGCAGTGACAGGGGTAGAAGGTGTGGAGGGGGAGTCAGGGGCTGCAGCGTATGAGAGTGGACATGTTGCTGTAGGATAAGAGTAAGGCAGGGGCTGCAGGGTAAGAGGGAAGCAGGGGCTGCAGAGTAAGAGGGGGGCAAGGGCTGCAGGGTAAGAGTGGGCAGGGACTGCAAGTTAAAAGGGGGGCAGGGGCTGCAGGGTATTAGGGGGCAGGGTGTGAGGGGGACAGGAGATGCTGGGTGAGAGGGGCTGCATGGTAATGTGATGGAATTTCGGTGAAATTTAAATTTAGTAGGCCGAGATTTCCACGTGTATGTTGTATGAGTTAGTTAGTTACACGTAGCTAAGATACTCTCATCAATGTACTGAGCATGTGCAGGAATGCAGGGACTGAAATCACATTCCTTTCTCCTTTGTTTCGAAAGAGCCATGTGGTCTGCATATAAAGAAATCCAAATCCTGTCCACTGATTGGTTAAGGGTATGTGCGGGTGGAGCTATTAATGGGAGGAGTTATAGTTCTATAAAAAGCATGTACTCCATGTGGTCAGCCCTCAGACCTGTTTTGGAACGTTAGTTCATCTGAGACCAGATCGGTATGTTAATAAAGACCTCTTACTTCTTGAAAACCTGCATCCATCTCTGTGTCTGGCTTCTGCAAGTTTACTCGGTTACATCTTTGGTGCGTTGGCCGGGAACCTCATCGCACAGAAGCTGGCACAGAGATTTGAGACGGTAAACTTTTTACCAATGTTCTCTATGGCAGCACCCCTGAACTTCTGCGTGGACATCCCTTCATCTCGGTGCCACTGGGCTGCTTCGCCCAGGAGATCATCGGCCTTTACGTAGTAAGTACCGGGGTGCCCCGTCGATGAGTGTGAGCCCAGGTTCAGTAACGAAGAGGTAACACTGATACCGTTAGAGCAGTAGGCCCACAAGGGGTTTTATATTTGGAACCAGTTATTGGATTGCCCCCTCCCTCTGGAGGAAAGAAGCAAAGGCGCACCGCTTATCTGGAAATTAGACGCTCTGTAGCCAGCCCATCTAATATAGGTGGTTTGGGTCAGGCTAAATCTCGGTGTAAATAGTTTATGCTGGACACCGGTGTTCTGTCGGGGAGGCCGGCGAGACTAACCAGATTCTGGTGTACATTCCGTCTGCTAGTTCTCAACCTATCTTGGCTAAGTGTGCCTGTTGTAAATTCAGCCACTAGACTATTGATAGAGTAGTTAGACTAAATGGGTACTGTTGTAAATTCCGCCCACTAGTTCGCTATATGTGGTGCTTGGGCAGCGTAGACTAACCGAATCCTGGTGTAAATAGTTTGATAGTTCTCGAGGTGCTGGCCAATTAGAATAGTTGGGATTATTGTAAATGTTGCTACATATACTGTAGTTGGTGAATTTTTGAATTGTATGTCCTGCTAGAAAGCTTGAGCTCTGCCGTCTAGTGGGAGTGTAAATTGTGTGCATACTGTATAATAGCGCACGTTATTATAACCATTAACATGTACTATAACTACTGACGTTGTGTAAAAATTACTAAAAACTGTTGTCTTATGTTATATGTGTAACACCATAAATGTTAATATCTGATCTGTGACTTTAAAACTGTGTTATAACCACTTGCTAACCGTACCATAACCACTGATTGTAAAGATGAGGTTACTAGAATGTGAAATAGTCGGTTAGTTAAAAGTTGATTTATAATGTGGATAATTGTAGGGTTTGATTTATAGTTACAGAGATAAGTATCTACTGTTTGGTAAATCTTTGTGAGTGAGACGTTGTGATATCACTGTATGTACGAGAATTCTCTGCGTGTTTTCGTGTGTGTGTGTTTGGGCTAGCAACTGTGCCACGTGGTGCTGTTGCCAGGGAAACAAGTGTGATCGTTGGAAGTGTGTTTTGGGGTATTGTGTTTCTTTGTATTAGACGCTTCGTTGCCAGTATGGGTGCGTCTGACTCAAAGATTGTTGATCCCTTGTCGTGTATGTTGAACAACTTTGCAAAGGGATATAAAGTTTGTGATTTTGGGGTGAAATTATCCCCAAAGCGTTTGACTACATTATGTAGTAGAGAGTGGCCTATCTTGGTGACTGCATAGCCTCCACGTGGTAGTCTTGATCTAACTCTAGTACAACGTGTGCACGCGGCTGTATCTAGTAGGCCTGAATTCTATGATCAGTTTCCGTATATTGATTGTTGGAAACAGATTGTGGAATTATTGCCTAAATGGATTAAGGTATGCCACGAGGAGCAATATCGCCTCATGGTGGCCAGGACTCGCCTGTCCATCAGGGCCGCAACCCCACCCATTTTAGACTCTCCCTCTGAGTCTGAACTTCCCTCGCCACCCCCTTACTCCTCCTCTAAGGTTAGAGGAGGTGTTGATGGTGCTGCCACCCCTTCCCCATTGTCCCTGCCCACTCATTCATCTAGTTTAGAGCCCAGCCCACTTGCACTGAGTCCTCCGCTTCCGGTACCTACCTCCACTAGTTCTATATATCCGGAATTAATGTCACTTCTGGTTCCTGGTCAGGCTCCTCCCAGCCCAGCCCGCAACATCCTGTTGACTGAACTTCCGCCCAGTATAATTAACCCGCCTCATTCTCCTTACCTTACTACCCCTAGACCGGAACTTACTATAAAACAGCCTTGCCGAAGTCCTATATTAACCCGACAGATGACTGGTACCCTACAACCCCGACATTACCAAATGCCCCTCTGACTTACACCGGGCCCAACACACGTTGACGAAAATGGCCAAATACAAAGGGCAGATCCAGTGTTTGTCTATGTCCCCTTCACCACAACTAATCTATTCAATTGGAAGACTCATAACTCTTCGTATACCGATAAACCCTTAAATCATGACAGATTTGGTTACCTCTATTATACAAACACACAATCCCACCTGGGCCGATTGCCAGCAATTATTATTAACTTTATTTAATTGTGAGGAAAGGACCTGGATTAATCAAGCGGCTATTAAAGCGCTTGAGGAAACGGCTCGTACTCAAAATCAGGCCAATCCAGCTGCATGGGCAGCAGCCCATTATCCAAATGTTGACCCAAATTGGAATGTGAATGGTGCTGACATGCCCCAATTAAGAGCTTATCGGGAAGCCATTATTGCTGGCATGAAGGCAGGAGGGAAGAAGGCAATCAATATGTCAAAGACGGCTGAGGTGTTGCAAAAAGTTGATGAGTCACCTAGTGCCTTTTATGAAAGATTATTGGAGTCATATAGATTGTATACTCCTCTTAATCCAGAGACCCCTGAGAATTCTCGAATGATTAACTCAGCATTTGTCAGCCAGGCCCAAGGTGATATTAAAAGAAAATTGCAAAAGTTAGAAGGATTTGTTGGGATGTCCATATCACAGCTAATGGATATTGCAAATAAAGTATATATGAATAGGGAAACTAAGATAAAGTGGGAGGAAGAACGTAAAATGAGGAAGATGGCAGATATGCTAGCGGTAGCTATCACAAGTGTAGAAAGACAGGGAAGGGAGGTGAATAAAGGAGTCGAGAATATGCTGAGTAAGGGACCTTTAAGTAGGAATCAATGTGTGTATTGTAGAGGAAGGACATTGGAAGAATGAGTGTCCACAGAGAGAGCATAATGAAAATAATAGACAAGGAGAGAGAAGAGTACGGGGAGGTTATAGTGGTAGTTATAGAGGAAGAGGAATTTTTGGAGGGAACGGTGGGAATAGTAGAGGGAGTGTTCAAGGAGATAGATATTATCCACCTACTCAGAGACCAAGAGATAGAGAGGATAGAGATTTTGTGGGTCTGGCTGACACTATCATGGAAGACTATTGATACTGACCGGGTTCCATCCCCCTTGGCCGAGCGGAGCCTATGGTCGATGTAGCAATAGGGGGAAAGAGAAGTTCTTTCATGATTGACACTGGTGCTGAACATTCCATGGTGATTAAACTGGTGGCTCCGCTTTCAGGAAAAACTATAACTGTGATAGGAGCTACTGGGAGAAGCGCAGCTAGACCGGTTCTTAAAAGTCGCACTTGCATTCTGGGAGGCCATTTGGTGAAGCACCAGTTCCTATATATGCCAGAGTGCCCGATTCAACTTCTAGGATGAGATCTACTATCGAAGCTTCAAGCCCAGATAACTTTTCTACCGAATGGAGCAACGTCTCTGAGGTTTAATGGATTACCAGGCATAATGGTGGTATCGGTGCCAAGGGAAGAAGAATGGCGCTTCTACTCCATAATGACAAGTGTAAACTCTAAGAGTGATGAACCTTTAATTGACATTCCAGGAGTATGGGCAGAGAATAATCCACCTGGGCTTGCTCGTAATATTCCACCTATACATATTGAACTAAAGCTTGGGGCCTATCCTGTGAGCCTACGTCAGTATCATATACTTCAAAAGGCTAAGAAAAACATACAGACCTACTTGGATAAGTTCGTACGGTATGGCATCCTAAAATTCTGTACTTCCCCCTGGAACACTCCATTATTACCTGTTCAGAAACCAGGATCAGATGAATATCGTCCTGTACAAGATTTGAGAGCAGTTAATGATGCAGTAGTCAATATACACCCAGTTGTACCCAAACCTTATAATCTGCTTGCTT